ATGGCTCCCAGCAGGGGCAGAAGGAGCCACACAGTCTCTGCTGTGCCATGGACCCTGGTTCATGGCCAGGCCCTTCCAGTTTGTGCTGTGTCCCCCTGCCGGCAGGCCCCTTACCTGTGCCCTCCCTCGGGCTTTCCCCAGGACAGGTCCTGTGCACACAGGCAGCACCAGCAGACCTGGCTGTGGACCTGGAAGACAGGCTCCCTGGGGGAGAGGTGGCAGGGAGAAGTCCTGGCTGCCCGTCAGCTGTCCCTGGTGAGCAGTGCTCACCACCATCACCCTCCCTGTGCCTCTTGTTTGCTGGACATGGAAAGATGGATAGAAAGTAACTGCTCTTTGTTTCCCTAGAAGAGGTATTCCGGAGCAGCAGTTAGGTTCCCGTGTGGCTTTTTCCACACTAGGTCGAGCTCCTCCCCACTTGCGTTGTTCCCTGCATTTGCCACCACTCACCACCCCCTATTGGTCTGTCTGTCCACCCACCTGTCCAAGCAGACTGTGGATGCGGCTGTCGTGCAAATGCTGCCCTTCACCCTGTAGCGCTGCACTGGCCCTTGTCATTTGGCATCATCTCAGATCATATGCAGGGGCAGTGTCGCCGCCGCTTTGCTGTGGGGATGTTCATCTGGGAAAGGACAGACCCTCGTCAGACACTCAAGTGGCTCAGGAGGCGCCATCTTTCCTTTTGCAAAGGTGGTAACTGTGCATTGTGAGAACGCACTGCTCCTGCGTTCTGCACAGAAGATGAGCCTGCCTTCTGCTCCCGCCGTGCCGAGGGTGTCCAGGGCTCCTGCACACTCTGCTTGTGTTTATGGAGGGGCAGTGTAGAGCTTTCCATGTGAAGGGAGTTGGTGATCAAGGTGGGGTATTTTATAAATTAACTTTGTGACTTAAAAATATAGCAGGGCAGCATTTTCTAAGAAGGCTATTTAACCCCTGCCCTCCTAAGCCTTTCTACAATGTAAGATGACAGGTAAAATTATTTTTAATTAAATATCTGTCTTTATATCCTGGGACTTTACATTCTGTGGTGGTCCACTTGGGACTGCTGGTCTTCCCGGGCTGCAGGAGGGCTCCTCTGCCTCCTCCAGGTTCTTGAGGTTTAGCTTGTGTACTTTTGATCTCCTTGGGGTCATGGCTTAAGCCTTTTCACCTTGGTGTTCCCAGGCCACAGGGCCTGCCCTGTGCAGGGAGGTGCTGCCATGGTAACAAGGGAGAAGGGGGGCTGGTCCACTCAAGAACAGCACCAAACACACCGGTGTTAATGTTCATCTGTGATGAAACGATTAACATAAAAACTAGGATGGAGTCAGGAAATTCTGTCATTTTTAACAATGTATTTTGCATAAATGTGTCAACTAGAGCATCCCAGAGGTAGCTCATCCCCGGGCCAGGCAGTCAAAATGACTGGGAGGAGGTTGAGATTATGGGTGTCCCCCCAGCCCCCTGAGGAGTGCATGTGCTTATCCACCTTCTGTCCCACCCACCGCCTCGAGGCAGCTTGTGGAGCAGAGTGTCTTTATGGCTCAGGTGAGAAACAGGTAAGCCCAGTTCTCCAGGAGCCAAGGGCAGTGCTGCCCCAGAGCACATGGTCACCACTTTCCATCACTGGCCACCAGGCCCGTTCGCCCTTTTTACTTGTGTATTCATAAGTTTCCCCTGTGGGTCACGTTTCTTTCTTTGAACCTGGGATGGCTTGGAATTCCTCAGTGTCTGTGTTTCTCTCTGTTATTTGTGATCTGAGTAAAGTCTTTCCATTGATGTTGATGGTGTTGTCTTTCCTGTTTGTGTGACATATTTGGGAGCTGAACCCAGCCACATTGTTGTGTCTGCCCAGCTACAAATGTCCTGACCCAGTTGCCTCTGGCCCCTGACCGTGGGGCCTCCCTGGTGTTCCATGCTCCAGTTCCTCCCATCTCCTCTCCCTGCCCCTGGGCTGCACATGCCTGGTGGAAAGTGTGTATCTTTGGAGTCAGGTGGCCTTGAGTTAGGAAATCTATTCTGACTGTTAGGCTTTTTTGGTGTCTTGATTTTGAGGACACATTCCCCCTGCCATTTCCCTGGTCCTTGTGGAAAGTGGGTTGATATCAGCTTCCAAGAGATGGAAGGGAACCAAGCCCGCCAATCTCACCTGTGGTTCTGTCCAGCCATGCTCCCAGGACTGCCAGTGTCCTGTCCTCTGTGGGGCCATGTATGGGGGCCCTGGATGGTCTTGCCAGCCCAGGGGTATTTCTGTACCCCACCCCTGTGCTCTGAAGTGGCCATGATAGCCTGGGCTTCCACAGTGACCTAGCCTGCTCTTAATGCCGTGGGCTAGTGAGGCGGGGGGGCTGCCCTGTTGGACCTGGGCCAGGGGAGGTTGATCTCATTCTAACAGTCAGGGCAGTTCTGATTCTCTTGGAGTTTAGAAGACAAAGCATCGTAAGAGCTCTCTGAGTTCAGTGCCATTACCTCATTGCATCAAAGAGGAATGAAGGGCCCATTGTGAGAATCGACACCTAGAGCAGGCTGCTGCCCATTTCCTTGGGTAAAGTACTAAGTTGGCTGAACAGAGGAATCGGGGCTTTTGCCCATCTCTTGCAGCACCAGCCCTGCTGCTCCTGTGAACCAAGGAGAGGCTTCTGAGGCCGGGGTGGGGGGTGGGGGTGGGGGGCCTGTTTGTTCACTCTTTTTTTGTAGCCGGGAAAGCACCCCTATGCTGGTAAAGCCCTGGAAAGTGAGAGCATGTTGGTGGAAAACATCTCAAAAAAAGTCCTCTGATGATGGTGCTGATTCAGTTCCCTGAGACTGGGAGATAAAGTCAGATCCTCTCTGAACCTGCGGGATGTGGAATTGATTCTGCTGAAGCTGTTTTCCCAGCAGGCGAATTACAGTGTGAGGAGGCTGTGCCTGTTGTGGGTGTCCTTGGCTTCTTGGTTCTCTCAGCAGGATGGCACACGGTGGAGCCGGCTTGTTCCTACTGTCGCTGTTGGACTATGCCCGTTGGTGAGCTCCTGAGCCCCAGATTCTGTGTTTAACCAGGTGGAGGTGACCACCCCCACCCTGGCAGCCTGAGGAGTTCAGGAGGCAGTGCCTTCTGAAAGTCTCTGGGGAGTTTATTATGGGGGGTTCTCAGGTCTGATGCTGGGCTCCTGGGCCCACAGGCTTCCAAGGCCAGACTCTGCAGGACTGGAGCTCAGTGGATAGAGCTGTCCCCACGTGCTGGAGCAAGAGCCTGAAACCCTGCATGGCCCAGGGTGGATAGAGGTGCTGGAGCCGCAGGTGTCCCAGGCTAGCTTTGCCCCTTGTGTGTGGGCTTCTCGAGGATCTCAAAACTCAGTGAATACAGCATGTGCTGCTGTTGTCCGTGCTGTGAGTCTGCTCTGCTGTATGGTGTACTGTGAGCACCATGTCCTGAGAGAGGGAAGCCAGGTGCCCATGGCCACCCAGAGTGTGGCTGCACCCACATAGAGAGAGCTGGCATTTGGGTGGTGGCTTCCAGGGACTGTGGGAGGGACAAAGACTTCTCACTGGGGTGATCAAAGGGCTCTGGAATTGTTGGTGGTGACTGTGTGACTTTGTGCATATGCTAGAGACCCCTAGCTTGTAAACTTACCAAGATTGACCTTTATGGGATATGGATTATGTTTCAGTTTAAAAAGCCCCATAACCCATATAGAAACACCCTCTTACTGCCTCAGAAAGAGGCATGGTGGGATTGTAGGCACCGACCCACACTGGCTGTGTGTCCAGGACTGTCATTGTCTTGTCCCAGCTCTCGAGGTCAGCCCCCACCACTGGATGGTGCTGCGGAAACACTCTTCCCTTGTAGCTTTCTGGTCTCTGCTGTGAACCAAGAACCAGGGAGGCAGTGTAATTACTGCTGGTGTGAGCTAGGACCTTGCAGGGAGGTGGTGTGCTCACTTGCTTCTGGTGGGAGCTAGGACTGTGCAGGCTGCTATTAAGAAGGTTGGTGTCAAGGGTGGATAGCAGGTGAACAGGAGTTGAAGCTCTGGTCCTTCCTGGGAGCCATGATGCAAAAAAACAGGCTGCTGGCACAGGGCTGTTTTGTCTCCACTCCCTCCCTGTCCGTAGTGTGGTGGAAGTGGGGATGTGACAGAGGTAAAGGGTGATCATATTTGAAACACAGGGAAGGGGGCCTGGCTATGACGAATGTGAATGTAGCAGGTGCTGCTGTTGTCCATGCTGTGACTGCACGTCTGCTCTGCTCAGGACTTTCTGAATGTATCTGGACTAACCTGCCTTCCTTCTTAAAGAACATGTTCCTTGCAAAGATGCATGCACATTTTCAAATAAAATAGAAGAAAGAAAATTAAATAATAGGATCCATCAATTTTAAACATTTGCGAGTGCTATGCTGGATGGTAGCAGTTTTTGTAAGGATCTGAAATTACGTTGTTCAAATATCTGATAAGTCATTTCAATTAGGCATCTGTTTTGCATTTTAAAAACTTTTAAGTTATGTTTCCTCATTAGGTGTGTTATACTTTCAGGAGATTTCTGAGTGCATGTTGTCAGTTATTTCTTTGAAGCACATCTGTGTTACTGCTTTCTGGGGTGTTTGATCTTACAGGAGTATTTACACAGTGTAGTTTGGAAACTCTAACCTTAGAAACAGATTTTTAGAGGAATTACTGCTCAAGGAATATGTAAATATATTACAGAGTTCAAAAAATTTGATGGAGAAACTTACAGATCTGTTAGGAGTAAGTAATATATTCTAGGTTCATTCTGGTCAGAATGTGAAGTGCCTGAGAAGTAATAATATACAATATATTAATTATGTTAATTAATTGGAGAGGATTCAGAGTATAATTTTCTGCCACTAATTAGGTATTAAAATGGAGGCATTAAGTGATGAGGTGTGAGACGCCACAAGCTGGTTGGTGGTAGGAAAGAGTGGGTGGGGGTCGACAGCGCCTGGGGTCTCTCGTCGCCACTTCCTGGTGTTGTTTACTTCTGTGGCTAATTGCACCTCGTCTTTCCCTGCTGGTGCTGCCCAGAAGAGGAAGACGTGGATGCGGTGGACGTCTCCAGCGTGCCTGAGGAAGTGCTGCGCAACATTGAGGCCGACACCTACTGGTGCATGAGCAAGCTGCTGGACGGCATCCAGGTGAGCCTGGCAAGGGCCGCGGGCGTTGGGTCCAGCCCACAGGCCTGCTCCCCGACCTGAGCCTACTCTTACTAGCTTTAGAAGCGTCCGTTTCTGCATCTGGAGCAGCAGCCCGCCCTCCTTAAGGTGACGGGTGTGAGCCTTGTCTTTGTGTCCCTGGGTGGTCATGATGTCCTGTTCAGGGTTTCAGCGGGAAGGTGGTACAGTCTGCTCCCTGTGGCTTCTGGTTTTTCACCCTGTGCCCACAGAGGCCAGTCTCCAGCTGCATGTGGATTGGTCCAGGAGCCATGGACCACATGTGGCCAAGAGTGCTTGGAGGATATTGCCCTTTAAAGGGCGTCAAGGTCAGTGCTGCTCATGTCTGTAGTACCTGGGCCCACGAGCACATCTTAGTTCTACCAGCTGGGTGCCAGGCTCCAGTGTTGGAGACTGTGGCTGCCTCTGGTCCAGCATGCCGTGTGGAGGTGTTGTCTCCTGCACCCCTGCCGTGTGCTGGGTGTTGTTCTGTAAACCCAGGAGGCCGCAGGGGTGTGAGGTGTGAGGCCGCAGAGCTCCCCCTGGGCTGCAGCACCTGGAGGTGGTAAGCATGGCCGCTGAGGACTGAATGTGGGGGGAAGGGACTCCAAGGACTTGTCAGACAGGAGGGCAAGCCTCGGCAGGGTGTGGTGGACGGAAGCTTTTGCAGGACTAGACGTTCGTCCCAAGGGTCACTGTGGGAGCCCTCATGCCCAGGTCCCTGCAAGGGTTCCTCCCAGCTGCAGGGCGGCCTTCCTCCAGCAGGTGGGAGGCAGGGCCTGGCTGCGCTCATTTTGCTTTTCCTGTACTGTTGTCACCATAGCCGTGCCTGGTACCCCTTGTTAAAGAGGTCTCAGCTCTGCTGCTGGATCTGCCAGGGTTAAAACAAGACTTTATGAAGTTCAGTATGAAGGTTAATTTTAAAAAATGAGCCACGTTGGTTGCATGGAGGAAAACCGGGTCTGTATTGCTTTTGATAACTGAGGAAACGGCGAGAGAAATTCGAATCCCTTCTGTAAGTGAAGAGTGGAAGCCCCGCATCTCCCGCTAATCGGGATGTGATCGTGACTTATTCTGTTTCTTGTAAAGAAAAATGTGCCCGCTAGAGATGTATTTTGGCCCAAGTGTCAATTTTTCATGTCTGTCCTTTGTTAGGGTTTTCTTATTTTTTATCTTTCCTTCTAGAACTTAAGGCTCTCCCCTTAGAAGAGGGATTGAATCATGATGTAAGACTATCAATTCCCACTGTCGCTTCTCTGGTTGTAAGTGATGGAACTCGTGCCATTTAAAAACAAGATTATCTGGCTGCTGTTTGTAAATAAGATCAGCTGTACAACACGGTCGGTCGATGCTGGTTTTCCTTTTCCCCTGAGCTTGTTGCTGAGGACAGGGCTTATGGACAGGCTGGCACTTCTCGGTGCACACTCACCCCGAGGCAGCCCAGGGGAGCTGTCTTCTCTCTTTTTCGTGGTCACACTTGATTCCTGTGAGCCTCCCCTGAGCTGCAGTTGAGTGATGTCAGTGACACTGTCCAGGGACGGGGGCACTGCTTTGATTCTTAGGGCTGAGGTTGCCCTGTGACCAGAGTCAGCCCCTCCCAGGCACTGTTGGGGTTGCAGGCAAAGACTGGCATTATTTTAGGGTTAGGTATGTGTGAGAATAAGAGCTAGTTAAAATTCCAGCTTGTGCGAACCAGAGTGTCAGCCCCTGAGGGCCCAGTGCCTCTGTCCATGGTCCTGGGCCACTCTTGTCCCTTTTCTTTTTCCTGCTTCCAGCCTCCTGGGCCTCAGCTGCTGCTTCTTAGAGCTGCTTAAGCATGCGTCTCTGCTCATCATCACTCTGATTAGAAGTATGAGGGGAAAACTCTGTCTTGGTTCTGTTTGGTGCTGACTCCCAGCTGACCCCTCACCAGTGTTCCCAGCTGCTTGCCAAGGTCAGGCTCCTGGTCAAGGTGTGCCAACCATCTATACCATTGCAAAGAGACTGCAGTGGAGCCACTGCACTGAAACTGGGTGCTGGGCTCTTCCTCCTGAGGAGTGAGAACTGCACATGCATGTCTGGGGCCACAGGTGTTGTGAGTGGTGGGCAGTAACAGTGGGTGTGGAGTGGCAACTGATTGTGCCTCCTGCATGATGGTGCTTCCTGGAGTTGGTGCTGAACCTCATGACAGATCTGAGGTGACACCTGCACACCAATGCCAAGGGAGCTGGAATCACCAGCCCAAGGTGGTCGGGCTTGCGTGAGAGCCCACGTTCTGACCCTTCAGCCAGGGGTCTGTGTTCTACTCTGACCGGGGCCTTTCTAAGTTGAAGTAGGTTGCATGCGTTCCATTTTGCAGAGTGGGTTCCAGAGTCACAAACCACCTGTCTATTTTACCTTCTGACATACTGGACAGTGGTCGCTATGCTTGTGATTCACCTGGGAGTCTCAGTCTTTCACGCTGTATTCCACGAGGTTATGGTAATTGACCAGTTAACTCTGTTGACTTGGCCAGAGTGTGGTGAGCATCTTCCTGTAGAGGATCTGGGCTCGTTTGGTGAGTGTGACAGCACTGCCTTGCTGTCCTGGGGAGCCCAGCACCACTGGGATGGGCTGGGAGAGATGGCTGGCAGATGAACACCCACATGCAGCCTGGGAGGCCCATACTACTCTGCAGCAAAGGCCCTGTGACGCTGGGCCACAGTGAACAGAAGGTGTTTAAATGCATTGCTGGACTCCTTGCCACCAGGGGAGGCTGTCCATGAAGAAATGGACTCTTCAGCCACCAGGGCAGGCCCTCCAGGAAGAAATGGACTCCTCAGCCACCAGGGCCAATCCCTGAGAAAGAAAGAGTGGGGAGCCTCCCTGGTGGCTGGTGCACTGGAGGCATCAGATGCAGGGTTAGGTCTCCCGTGCTGGCAGCGTGTGGAATACGGGACAAGCTGGCCCTGCCCAGGGAAGTTGAGGTGCTGTCCAGAGCCAAAGCAGATGGTCCTGCCGCGGGCAAGCCAGGTCATTGTTTCAGGACCCCTTGGCATCCTTAGAACAAGAAGAACCAAGGAGCTGCCCACCAGTTCTCCTGAATACAAACAATTTAAAAGTATTTAGTAACTTGTTTGAAACTAATTATGGCTAACCCAGGGTATGCTATTATTTTATGATATTATTTCTATAATGAATTAATATTTTCTATAACAGAAATATTTAGTGGTGAGAAAGGCTCCCCCTCACCATTTTGTAAATTTCCTTAGTATCTAACTTAATAGAAGACAAAACAACCATTTATGTTGGTGTAGTCAATATATTGTAATTTGGCGGGGGGGGGGGGCTTGAAGGACATGAACAAAATTCAGCCATACACAGGTATGTGGTTGGAAAAGGGAGCGTTTAATATCTTTTCCAGGTAATTGTGGACTTTTTCTTTAATACTCTATCATAACTCAATATTTGAGGTTTCTGAAGTCCGCTGCACCTCACACACATGTCTGGTGGCGGCTGTTGCACTTTGTGGCTTTTACTCACGTGTGGCTCTGGAACCTCACACACAGTCATATGGGAAACGCTGGGCGGTGCGCTAATGCAGGGTTGCTCAAGGCTGTCATGGGTTGGAATCCAAACTTGGTTGTGTTGCCCTACAGTGTCAGAGCTTCACGTTCACTGGCATTACGACATTCCCAGCATTCTCATGGAGAAGCTGAAGCCACCAGGCCACAGTGGGGAATGAAAGTCTTCCACAATTCAGGTTCTGTCTTAAAAGCTCAAATACCATAGTGGACAACAGTTACTACCCATTGTTTTCTTGAAACAACAGGCTGAGTTCATTTTTGAGGAAATGTCTGCTGGAGACTCAAATTTTAATAACCAATTTGTCTCACGTGCTTGTCCTTTAAGTAAAAATGATGTTTTTTGAAGAAGGTGTTCAGTCTGGCTCACACAGAAACCGCCACACTGAGATCTGCCTTGGGAGGTAGTGGCGTTGCTCAGCAGGCACCACAGGGTGTCACATAGCCTTCCTGCCCTGCCCCATGGAGTGTGGGACAGCTGTCTCCTCAAGAGCGGGACTAAGCTCATCTTAATAGCATGATTAGACTGGATTTGACTGTAGTGTTTAAGTTCCTACTTCATCAAGGACATTCTTAAAGGAAGCTGCCTTTTGTCTTAAACTGTGGCATGTGGCATTAGGAATGATTGTGGCCTGGCATGAGTTTGTGGTGCTGCATGCATTCCTGCCAGCTGACTCACACGGCTTGTGTCCACAGAGCAGGTGCTAACAATGCCAACATCCTAGTTTTGTCATGGAAATGGTTTTGTTCTCACACACTACTAGAGAAGGTCTTGGGGACACTGGTAGGTGACTGGCCAGCCTTTGAGAACTTTTCCCTGAAAAAAGCGTGGTCCCTATCACAGATGCAGCTCATGAGAGAGTGCCAAGCAAGCTTACGAGGAGTGCCCGAGGAGAAGACCTGGCTGCCGTTTTGCGCTGTCGTCAGGGGCTTGGAGTGCCCCAACAGAGATGGAAGGGCCTGGGGTGGGAGGTTCAAGTGGTGAGGGTAAAGGAGCAGTTCAGAATCAAGAATGAGATCGGAGATTTTCAAAAGAAGTAGAAAGAATTTCTGGTAATCAAAATAATAGTCATTGAAATTTACAACCCATTAGACACAGAGAGAATTAATTGACCTCAAATGTAGTTCTGAGAAAATTACTGAGTAGGCAGCATAGCGAGATGCTGAAAATAAGACAGAGATTAAGACCTGAAACAGAGTATGAACAAACAGATCTAGAGAGAGAAAATGTATTGGAGAAGAGTCAGTGTTTATAAGATTATGGCTGAGAATTTTAAGTTATTGCTTATGTGCAATAAACAAGTCCCTAGAAAGATGAATTGAGCCAGGTGCGGTGGTACACCGCTCTAATCCCAGTGACTCGGGAGGCTAAGGCAGGAGGACCACAAGTTTGAGGCCAGCCTCAGCAACTTGTCGAGGCCTTAAGCAATTTAGACTTTGGCT